ACCATTGGCCTTCTTGGCCACCAGGGCACATTGTCATCCCATGGATAACTTGTTGTCTACCAGAACTCCAAGGTCCTTCTCCACGGAGCTGCTCTCTAGCAGATCATCTCCTGGCCTGTACTGGTGCATGCTGGTGTTCCTTCCCAGGTGCAGGACTCTGCATTAGCTCTTGTTGAACCTCATGTGGTTCCTCTTTGCCCAGCTCTCCAGCCTGTCCAAATAAAGTTTTTAATTCAGAGGAATTTTACTTTGGAGGCTTTTAATTCAGTGGAACTTTTCATTGCACTGAATCTCCTTCCGTCTCACTGCTGGGGAGATGGGAAAGAGGCCAGACCGTGACCTGACATGGGTTCAGTTAATGCCAAATTTTAATTAAAAGTCTGTTTATTTGATTAATGAAGAGGCCCAGTGCCCCGTGGGTGACACTTGCTTTGTAAAAGGACCCTTCAACAGTGGGGGTTACAGCAGAGTGGGACAGCCTGCAGGGGACAGAGCCCTCCTGTTTGTCCCTCCTTTATTATAAGAATATTAAATCTTATCCTACAACCCTTATTTATATATTAAAAAGGCCCTGCAGAGCTGTCTGTCTGCCAGTCATTGCTGTGAGCAGAAAGTTGTAACCTGGCCCTGGCAAAGAAAAGAAAGACATGGCAGTTCCTGTATCAGGCTGGTAAAATTATCAAAAGCCCTTTGTGGGTGAAATAAAGGCTTCGGACCTGCACAAATCAGGGGGGTGAGTGATGGGAAGGGGAGCAGGTTCTGCTGGGGTTGCAGAGCAGGAGGCAGCCCCCCCAGCCCAGCCTCTCTGCAGGTTCCTGCAGGACAAATGGTGTCTAAAAGAGAAAAACTTGCGGTTTTTTTTGCAAAACCTTTTAAATACAATAATCCCACATCCCATCTGTCACTGTGGCTGGCAACACACACAGAAAAAAACGCTCTTTTTAAAAAATTACCCTGTACGTGCACTTCACAAAACCAAGCAACCCAAACTGCCGAGTGCCAGGGCCAGCCCAGGACTTCTCTCCCCAGGGAAACGCTGCTGGGGTGTGGGAAGCTGCCAGCAGGGCAGGTTGGTTCCTTTGTTTGCAGCTCTGCTCCCGGCTGTCAGAGAAATGGCAACAAACCCTTTGCTGAGGGGCTGTTCTCCCCAGGCCTTTTTCTCCTGTGTCTTCCCCAGTGCCTGGGACAGGGGCAGTGCCCCTCTGGTGAGCTGTGGCCAAGTGAAAAGCCTCAGAGACCCCTGGAGGTGTCAGAAGAGGAGCTGGGGTGTCTGTCACACCCACCTCCTCAGGGGTGGGAATGAAAAACGTTTGTTACCTCCCACTGTGTCTCCCTAAGTTCCTGTTTGCATCAGGGTGGACATTCCCCTGCCTTGCCTCTCTGCTCACCTCTTCGAGGCAGGCTGGACACAGAGCTGAGAGACTCTGGCACCCAAGAAGTACCTTCTTCCTCACTTGTCTTCATGCTTTCCTCTATCCTCAGGAAACCCTTCTCATCCCAGCTGCATTTAACTTCCTCCTCCTCCAGCCTGATGTCCAAAATCATAGAACAGAACCATACGAAGGTTTGGGTTGGAAGGGACCTCAAAGATCATCCCACCCCTGCATGGGCAGGGACACCTCCCACCAGCCCAGGCTGCTCCAAGCCCCATCCAACCTGCCCTTCAACACTGCCAGGGATGGCATGCAGACATCCATCACTGAAATATGGAAGATCTTTCCAAAACTGCTGTGATGAAAATACCTGGGTGATGCATGGGCTCTTCCTGATTCTTTGCAAAACCTTACAAACCTTCAGTGCTTTTTATGTGTTCATGACAGAGATGCAGATTTCATCTCAGGGAGATGAAACCCAATGAAGGCCCAATTCCCTTTCTCTCCAACAAGCCAGTGTCCAGGATGAGTCCGTGGAAGCCCGAGTAAGGGCAGCAGTGCAAGGAGGCTGTGAGATGGTCCGGCCAGAAGGGACCCAGCAGCCCCTCGGAGGGTCCACGCCCCCCAGCAGGAGATGATTTGCTGGTGCTGAATGGGTGCTTTGGGACTGGCTGCCCCAGCTGAGGGACCCCTCAGGGCACAATCCCTGGGGACACAGGTCATCATCCCTGGGGACTGGGAACCTGCACCTGCTGCCCCGGGGTGGCTGCTCTGCCTCAGCTGCCCCAGGCAGGGAGCAGGACATGCTGGAGCTGCTGGAGCTGCTGGAGCTGGTGGCTGGGGGGCAGCCCCTGGGGGGCTCAGGGCTGCAGAGGGCAGCAGGGACTCCCAGCCCATCCTGCAGACAGGAAGCAACATCAACATGGGCAGAGATAGGCTGATCCCATTCCAGATCACAGTAGTAACTCTTTGTTTCCTTTCTTTTGTTTGGTTTGATTTTGCTCCTTTAAGAAATTTCTTCATTGCTTTTCTCAGCCACTTTGTACCTTGTGTTCTAAGCTTCTCACTGACACTTTCATATCAAGGTTTCAAGACAAATTCTGCATCAGAGCTGTGAGACATTAGCAGTAGCTGAGCTGAAACTGATGCAGTTTCTCTGCACACACACATCTCCAGATTATGGCCCTTTATTTCACAATGTCTGTCTCACTTTGCACAGAAGGAAACATTGGGTGTTTCTTGCTACCTCACATGACATTAATCAGATCTCATCACAACAGATGGACTCAAAGGATCAGAGACACTGGGCCAATTAGCAGATTAGTTTCCATTTCAAATACATCTGTGCTACACTGATGCCATTTTAAAACAGAGAAAATGGGAAATAACTGAAAATATCTTTCCTTCTCTTGGCCAGGATTGAGGGGACTAAATCCCATCTTCCAATTATTTTAAGTTTTCTCTTTTTCCCAGCACAGGCTGTGATGCAGCAGAGCAACTGGAATGTGCTTTAGAACAAGATTCTGAGCAAGTGCTGTGATACTGTTCCTTGGGGCATTTCAGTTCCCCTCTGAATCAAGACCAGAGTCTTCAACTCCCACATGAACACACAGTTTCCAACATCAAAAGTGAGTCAGTGAATTCACTCAATAAGGAGGAATTTTGTCTTTCAAGTGTTTTGTGATATTCCATGCAAAGCACTGACTGGATGGTGCCATGACCACTGACTGCAGCTCCACGAAGCTCCGTGCCTGAGGGACAGACCCCTGCTGCACCCTACCAGAACCCCCCAAATTTCTTACAGTGAGATTCAACACACAAAACTGCCTCCTTCCCTTCCCACAAAACCTGCTCCACCACACCTGAACTTCTATGAACCCTCCAGCTTTGGGCAGTGACCAACTCGAGTGCTGATGACAGAAAAAGAAATAAATAGATTTGACATCCCCACAGTGAAGAAAGTCTCTTCTTGCCCTACAGGCAGGGTGGTGGCACAGAAGACAACTTCTCAAAGACAGTGTTGTCCTTCCCCTGTCTCTTAGCTGAGGCCCCTGATGCATTTGTAACAGAAAATACTGTTGATGTTCCTGGGAGCTCCTGTGCTCTTCTCATGGCTGCCTGCACTCTGGTGGAGCACAAAACTATCTCTATGGTTCCTCAGCACCACATGCAAGGCTTCATGTAAGATGCTTTGGGGTCCTCAGCTGGCAGGTGGCAGAACAATTAGTCCAATTAGCTGCCATAGTGCCCTGACCACCCCAGACCGCCCGCGGGCAGCAATGGGTGTGTTACCACCAATGGGTGTCATGGGTCCCTCAGGTGGGAGGTTGGGGGTGACCAGTATCATCAACAAATGAAAGACCAAGACAGCCATAAGCAGGCAGACATATATAATATGTACAGTGACCATAATTGGCACCCTGAAAGAAACGATCACATTTTAGACAGCAGAATATGACCAAAGTCCAGAATTTCTAAGAGCCAGGTCTGTCTGACGGGCCAGTAAAAAGAGAAGGAAATGTTCACATGTGCGTTGAACAAAGAGGGGCAGCTCTCAGATGTGGGGTTATTTCTTCACTCTATTTCAGCTAAGAAATGCAGAAGCATCCTCATATTTTGCACTACGTGCTGTGGACAGAGAATTATCTCAGTAGATTGGGGTGGTTCTTTGTCCCTTCTCCCCTCATTCTCTTCAGCTTTTCCAATAGATCCACCAATACCAAAATGTGGAGCTGAATTTAATATGAATATTAGGCATGAATTTAGGAAGCAGGAAATCCCAAGCCTTTGTGTGGGATTAGCTGGTTCAGGTTTTCAGAGCAGACTGGGAGAAGGCAGTGGAAGGAAAGCCCTGAACCTACCTAAATGCTCTACAGGTGGTTTTCGGTCCACGGGCTGTAGATTTTTACAAGTCTGTGGGGTATCACTGTATCTCCAAAAAAGTATCTAAGAAAATGAAGCTCATTACCACAAAGTTTAAATTCACCACAGAGGACGCTGAACCTGGGTACGAAAACGATTTGAGGGTCCACAAGCTGTTAGAAGTTGAAAACCGTTGCTCTGGTTACAAAACCAGACTGTCAGTGAGACTGCACAGTCATTTGATTCCAAAGATTTACTCCCAAAATTCAAGGTATGCAGCAATGTGAGAAAAGGAACAGGAGGCTCTGGAGCATGAAAGGACTCCCTGATACTCCAGTATGAATTACTGGCCTACACCAGAGGCAATAACTGAACTTGGGAAAGACATGGAGATAAGATGACAGTATCATCATCACCTTTTTCTTCCTTTTCACTAAAATGAAATGCTGGTTAGAATTTGGCTTTTTGAAAAGACTGAAATGATCAGCAGGACTCTGCAAACAGAAAAGGGAAGTTTGCTCTTGCAGTCCTGTAATGAGGACGGGCCTGCTTGTAATTAAAATAATTTTCAAAGAAAAGAAAAATAACTAGAGAGCTGCATGTTGGTGCTGCTAAGCCCTCTGGTGTGGTCCAGGGTGGGGAATGCAGCAAGTCTGCTCAGCAGGGCTCCAGCCCTGGGGATGCGGGAGGGACGTTCAGAACATGCTCATCACTGGGGTCCACTTGCCCAAAGCCTTCTTCAGTGACCATGACAGCTGGGAGGTGCTACAATATTGTGGCTCCAGCAGTATCTGTGCTCCTGGGGTCCTTCAGGCCAATGATGAAGCTGTTGGTTCTCCTGGCCCCATGCACTAAGGAGACCACCTTGACTCTATCCACTCGATGGCCCCTGGCTACTAGAAATTCAACATCTTCTTCAGGGAACTCACCTGTAGGGGTTTTAAAAGAGGAGTTTGTAACTGAAACCAGTTGCCCTTGATGGAAATCTCTGCCCTAACCCTGTTGGGATCTCCAGTGAGAAGGGAATGGCCTGCAGCCCCTTCCAAAGGTGTCCCAGCCTGGGTGAGCCAAGGGTTGAGGAGCAGCCCACTTCCAGCTCCCAGCAGCCAAGAAAATAAGGGGCTCTGGAGACCTTTTAGAGATGTAGGAAAAGGGAAAACTTCATTGTTGGCAGCTTTTGTGGTTATTCTGCTTACAGAACACCAGGCAGTCCCTACTCTGAAGAGCTCAGTTACAATAATAGCATTAACAGTTATTAATCTAAACAAGATGCAAGGCAGCTCAAAACTGACAGTAAAACAAGCTGCCACATGACAAGCTCTGTGATAAAGCTTCCAATGTCCCCTTCACATATGTCTCCATCTTCCAGCCATCTGCCTTAGGTTACTTGCTCTTCTGCCTTTATTTTGTTTATGAGGGGCTTTGTAATTTCTGTATGAATAGAAGTGCCTGAGGACATGAAGCTGGGGATGCAGCTGGATGAACCAAGCAGGCACACAGAACCCCCCCCCCAGTGTCTGAGCTACACACATTGCAGATCTGTTACATAGATCTCGTTGATGCCAAATGTCCAAATACACAATTAGGACCTTCTGAAGTTTTGCATTTGTTTTTATAACATTCTAGTTCATGCCTGTGGATCACACAGTGTGGACCATTTTTGGTCACTTGGTGAAGATATGAGGCTTTGTGAGAAATACCAAACAGACCAAGACTTGCAACAAGAAGAAGAGCTGACAGGGCAGTCTGCAGACAAGAGCATCAGCACTGATGTTGCATTTCCAGCTCTGTCAAGCTACAAGCTGTGCCATGAGCCTTGTCTTCTCCACAGCTGGCGGAGTTAAGGGACACAGACTGGAAAATGAAGTAACATATTTTGTAGCAGAGATAAGAAAAGTACAGGAAGTTCTGCAGCTTTTGTCTTGGTGAAGCTGCGGTTGCAAACGTGTTTATTCGAGTCACCTCAAAGGTCCTGAGGATACCCAGGTTTTGGGAATCCTCAGACTGCCAAAAGGTTTTAAGGACAGGACAAGGCTGCTGTCAGGAGGTGAGCTGGGTAGAGAGAGGGCTGGGGAGAAGCACCTGAAAGAGTCTGGATGGTGGTGTTGGAGGGGTCAGGGAGCATTCTCAAGGCAAGGGGGAGAGGCCAAGGCTCAGCAAGGGCTCCAAACTTTGAAGAAACACAGTTGCCACTTTTTCTCTTCCCCAAAACCCTCTGCACCCACTGGCCAGCCTAGAATATGGTGAGACTTCACTGGGCTGTTGCACTTTGACAGCAGCCTGCCAAAAAGATCCTGCTCCTTCTCTCACCAGGCTACACTGTGGGTTGCACCAGCCCCGTGTCCATACTCACTGTCAACCTGCAAGGTGTGGGACTGAAGCTGTGGGTGAAGTCGACCAAGTGACAAACTTTCACTCAGATTCTTGTTGAATGTTAAAACATTTACCAAAACCTGCAAGAGAAGAAAAGAATCCTGATAACAAAAAAAGGAATGAGAACAAGAGAGGCCAACTTCCCTAACATCCTGGTCATGGATCCAACATTCTCTAACATCCACAGGTGCAGCAGACAAAGCAGATTTTGAACCATTTACCAAACTGCATGAACTAAGGCAGTGTTTTGCAATCCAAAGAGACCCTTGAAATACAGCCTGTTTCCTAATGGTGAGCAGCACCTTCTCAGGACTGCATGGGCTTTTTTTCATGTAGTTCCTGCTAAATTAGGAGAGTTGTGTGTCCAGAACATGAGGTAATCTCTAAATACCTGTTTGCCACAGCCCAAAGCTCAGCACATGACTTCTGCAAACAAAGCATTTAGGAAGCAATGGCTGCCTTTAGTTTTGCTCTGTATTTGCCTTCCAAAAGGTAAGGAAAATGGTAGCAGACTTGAGTTGTGCCTTTCTTTGTAGCTGCTGTTGTGCAGGCAATAAAGCTGTAAGCAAGTAATTCCTCTCATTACAAATCATAAATTAAGAGGAGCTGCCCAATTTATAGTCAGTGGTGAGCAGGGAGAATTCAGTTGGGAACAGATCTTTTCATAGGGAAAAGGGCCACAGGGCTGCCAGTCTCCTTCAATTCTCTGAATACAAAATGGTCCTTTTTTCCTCCCCTAATGATCCTTAAGACAAGCTTTGAACAGGTATTAGGGTGACACAAAACCATTGCAGATTTTGCCAAGATGCTTTTCCTCTACAATCATAAGTGATGCCACCAGGAAAGGTGCAAGAGAAGTAAACTGGCAACTACTGGAGATGTGAAAAAACAAATGTGTGGAACTAGTGACTTCAAAGGTTGAACTGGTAACCCTGTGGCCACCAGTTTCAATGCAGCCTGGGATGTTTGGACTGGAAAGCCTTTGGTGCAGGAGGGGACACTGCTCAGCACTGAGCCCAGGGGCTGCCCTGCGAGGGGGGTGTTGGGGGACAGACTGACCTGCACGAGGCTGCTCAGGGCTCTGTCCCCATTGTTGGCTCCCAGACACAGGTAAGTCCCACACATGCCCTGCGAGGGGCGCACGATGGTGGGCAGCAGGAACGACAGCGGCCGCTTCTGAGGCTGAAGGAGATTTTGCTGCAGTTGGAGAAAAGACAGGCCAAAGAATTTCAACAAGGCAACTGAAGCTTTGCTGCTGCTCAGACTGTGCAGGCTAAGAGAGAAAAAGCTGGGGAGGAACTTTTCACAGGAGCATGTAATGAGGGGACAAGGGGGAATGGCTTAAAACAGGAAGAGGGGAGATTGAGGTGAGACATTAGGAGGGAATTCTTCCCTGTGAGGGTGGTGAGACCCTGGCCCAGGCTGCCCCGGGAAGCTGTGGCTGCCCCATCCCTGGCAGTGTTGAAGGGCAGGTTGGATGGGGCTTGGAGCAGCCTGGGCTGGTGGGAGGTGTCCCTGCCCATGACAGGGGCTGGGACTAAATGAGCTTTAAGGTCCCTTCCAATCCAAACCAGAGATTCCACGATTCTATGAATGTCTTTCTCTTTATGCTTCAGCCAGCAATGGCACTGGTGTAGTTTTGCAAGGCTGACATCCTCCCTGACATTAACAGGATTCATCTCATCTCACGCCCTGGTTCTCTTTCCCAAAAGGTACATGGAGTCATTCACCCACTCCTAAAGCACCAACACAGTGAAGTGGGATGGTTTTACAAGAAGAAACAACAAGGCAGCACTGGAACCCATCAGTACTGGTCTGTAATCGTTTCTTTCCAAAGCCTGAAGACTTTTCTTCCACTATCTGTTACTTTTAAACCTGCAGAGCAGCAATTCAGAAAGACCATCCTTAATTCAAGTCCACAGCAAAGGACAGTTGCTTTAATGTGCATCTGTACTGCAGAAAAAATAGGTAGGGGAGATGTTCAGCCCTGGAGGTATTAAAAAAACAGGCAGACATGGTGTTTCAGGAGATGGTTTAGTGGATGGGGGTTGTAGGGCAGATGGTTGGACTTGATGATCTTAAAGGTCTTTTCCAACCTTAATGATTCTATGATTTGATAGAACTGCATTATAATGATAACTGACCCATGTGAAGCCTCTTTTTACTGTTTCTGCTCATAGTGAAAAGACAGGAGCTTCCTACAGCCTGTTGTCTCTCAGTTATTAATCAGACATTAAATAGCCTCCCTGCTATGGAGAGGAGAATAAAATTGAAAAAAAATGGTACTGCTCAAATTACCAGCCTGGGAATGGAGTTGTTCATTGTTTTATTTTGCCAGGAGAAGTCCAACATCTGGCTGTTCAGGAGGACTCCAGAGGGTGTTATTATTCCACTGCCAAAGGGACGATTCAGAGAACTGAAAAGAAACAAAAAGAAGTAGCATAAAATTCCTCCCAGAGACTGATTGTGCACCTGGAGGCGTCAGGGCTCCAATTTCCTGTCCCATCTTGGCTGGACAGAGACTTTTTGGTAGTTCTTTAGGGCTGGCTGGATGTGAGAAGTTAAAGTCTCCATGTCCTTAGGGGCAGGAACCACATGGGTGACAGCAGCTCAGTCCCTCCCTGAGTCTAAGGATTCCCCTCTAGGTGGTGGATCTGTCTCCATGCCCCCACCAGTCCTCAGATTTGGCCACCACCTCTTCTCCAGGGAGCAGATTCAGGCCAATCCAGACACGTGTCACTCTGAGGGCTGCAATGCTGCACAGGACAGAGCAGCATCAGCTCACACATCTCCACCCTGTCTTCCCCATTCCTCAGTTGTAGGACTAACTGGGACAGGGCAGCGTGGTTGCTCCAGGTCTGGTCCCATCCTGACCTCCTGAACCTGGTTTCTTCTCCCTGCTCCCACCCTCTGAGTACATTGTGCAGGGAAGAAGTGAATCCTTTACCTCACAACGGCAACAATGAAGTCATCGGGTCCCATGACAAGGACCTGGCTGGCAGCAGGTTCACTCTCAGGAGAGAAGTGAGGCATGTGGAGGTCGGAGAAGGACTGGGAGTCATTAATCAGCTGGCGCAGGACATTGGCTTCTGCTTTACTGCAGCCATGAGGGAGAGAAAGAGGACAGAAAGCCATAAGCCCAGGAAGCCAAACACCTCTTGGTGTCTCCTTGGGATACATCTACATGGCTACTGGAGGTGTCTCCCTGAGGGACTGGAACTGAGGATGGGCAGCTCCTCTGGTCCACCCCATGGAAGGAGACCCATGGCCCAGGCTGCACAGAGAGCCAGTGCCATGGCCCTCCCAGGCTGTCAGGTAAGTTCACCCTGATGGACAAGGAGTGGCACCACAAGGAGTGGCACCACACAGCTGAATGCCAAGTCCTCCAGGAGGAGGGCAAGTCAGGTCCAGCTCTGGCCACCAACTATGGCTAAAGCTGGCCCTGAGGTGGGAGGCTGGGCTGAAGCCCCAAGCCTGTCCTCTCCCATGTGTCTGGTCATCCTGCAAAGGCACTGAGCCCCATGGTGGGGAAGGGAGAGCCAGAAACTTGCATGTGTGGTCATGACCACGTGGATGGCCATTTGTCCATCCTGCTGAGAAGGAATATTTAGAGGGGTGAGAAAGTGGGAGGAACCCTCAAGATCAAGCTAGCTCCAGGAAAAACTCTGTGTGAGCACATCCCACATCCCAGCCCCAGAGCCTCGTGGTATCAGCTGTGATCCTTGTGGAAAAGTGAGTGTCAGGGGGACGGGGTTAGGCTTTTCTCAGTGATGACCAGTGATAGGACAAGGGGTAATGGGTGTAAATTGGAGCATAGGAGGTTCAAGGTGAATATCCGAAAAAAAATTTTTACTGTAAGAGTGACAGAGCCCTGGAACAGGCTGCCCAGGGAGGTTGTGGAGTCTCCTTCTCTGGAGACATTCAAAACCCACCTGGACATGTTCCTGTGTGATGTGTTCTGGGTGCCCCTGCTCTGGCAGGGGGGTTGGACTAGATGATCTCTCGAGGTCCCTTCCAGCCCCTAAGATTCTATGATTCTATGATTCTATGATAAGTGAGCCCTAGGAGGACACTCAAGGACAGACTCAGTGAGACAGAGCAGAAAAACCTCAGGTGTCCCTGTGCACGGAAAAGAGCAAATCCAGGAATGATGCCCAAACCACATACCTTGCAACTGCCACCATCCCTGTCAGGCTCAGACCTACCTCACCATGTCTTCTGCAGCATGAGTGATGGACACATCATCAGAGGGGTCTCCCAGGTGGCCAGCTAGAGTCAGGGCTATTTTTAATGTCTAAATTGAACACAGAGAGAGAAAGGAAGAAAGAGAGAAATACATTCATGTGGCTTTGGAAATACAACTTCTGATCCTCCAAACAGCAAGAGGTATCTGGTCTCCTGGCACGTTGGCTAAAGCCCATGAAGAAAAATGTCTTAAAGCCTGGTCCTGGGAATACCTCAGTGCGAAGGGCTGGCACACATGGGTACGGGCACCAAGGGACACCAGTTTGGCTTGGCAAACTCTGCTGGGAGAGCCGAGCATACCCAGCAGTGTTGGTACGAGGTGAAACTTGCCTGGACCAGCTGCTCAACCCAGCTCTGTGGTTCAGCTGCACTGCCAGTGGGCAGACAGGGTCACCAGGATGACTCTCACTTTCTATTTCCACCCCTGTGTGGTCACAACAACAGAGCTCACACTGAAGCCCAGTGGGACAGTGGGTCCTGGGCTCGCCGTTGTCTCTGCATGGCAGCTCCATGGACACAGCAGAGAGAGGAGCTGAACTACTTGGAGTCCAGTTGGAGACCTGTGACTAGTGGTGTTCCCCAGGGGTCAGTACTAGGCCCAGTCTTATTCAACATCTTCATCAATGACCTGGATGAGAGGATGGAGTGTGTCCTCAGCAAGTTTGATGATGACACCAAGCTGGGAGGATTGGCTGATGCACCTGAAGGCTGTGCAGCCATCCAGTGAGATCTGGACAGGCTGGAGAGCTGGCAAAGAGGAACCTCATGAGGCTGAACAAGAGCATGTGCAGACTCCTGCACCTGGGGAGAAAACGCACCATGCACCAGTATAGATTAGAGGTTGACCTGCTAGAAAAAAGCCCCATGGAGAAGGACCTTGGGGTCCTGGTGGACAACAAGTTATCCACAGGACAACAATGTGCCCTTGTGGCCAAGAGAGCCAATAGTATCCTGGGATGTATTAAGAACAGTGTGGCCAGCAGGCCCAGGGAGGTTCTCCTCCCCTTCTACTCTGCCCTGGTGAGACCACATCTGGAGTGTTGTGTCCTGTTCTGGGCTCCCCAGTTCAAGAGGGACAGGGACCTACTTAAGAGAGTCCAATGGAGGCTCCGAGGACGATGGAGGACTGGAACATCTGCCTGATGAGGAAAAGCTGAGGGACCTGGGGCTGTTCAGTCTGGAGAAGACTGAGGGGGGACCTGGTTAATGTCTACAAGTATCAGACGGGTGGGTGTCAAGAATGGGCCAGTCTCTGTTCAGTGGTGCCTGTGATAGGACGAGGGAAAACGGCACCAAGTGACAACACAGGAAGTTCCACCTCAACATGAGGAGAAACTTCTTTCCTGTGAGGGTGACAGAGCCCTGGGACAGGCTGCCCAGAGAGGTGGTGGAGTCTCCTTCTCTGGAGACTTTCAAGAGCCATCTGGACATGTTCCTGTGTGACCTGCCCTGGGTGTTCCTGCTGCAGCAAGAGGGTTGGACTGGATGATCTTCAGAGGTCCCTTCCAAGACCTACGAGTCTATGAGTCTACGATACTCACCAGCTGCTCCCCACACTCCCACTCTAAGTCACCTAAAGTGTCTGAACAGAAAGTGTTAGTCCCAGCTCACTTGAGGGAATTATGGTTTAAAAAGAGGAAGGGATCTGGTTTCTCCTACATGCAAAACCCTCCCTCAGCCAGCCCATGAAAAAATGGGAAAATAAGATGCAATTTCAAAAGTTTTATCCAGCCCTGGTTTTACAGTGCTCAGCCAGAGGATAATCACAAGGGGGAAAGTGGGCTCTTCCATCAAGCCAGCTCATGCCTAGCAGAAACCCACTGGACTTCCAGCTTGTAAGTCTTGCCATGTTCATTCAAAGTTGAAGACAGTACATTACCCTGCAGGCAGACAGCTGGATGTGACTTCTGTTTTGGTATGTTCCATCAAGCAACAACTCCTCTTGAAGTGCATCACTTCTTCTGATGTACAGTGTAGAATATGAAACACTCACCTGACCACCATGCCACAGAGAGGATGTGCAATAGGCTTGGTGGCCAGGGAAGAGCTCCACTGAAACAAGCAGTTCCCACCCTGCAGGCACAGGTTAAGGCATCCTGGGCAGGGCTGTCCCAGGGCTGGACTATCAGGTGCTGCCCTTCTGCTGAAGCTCAGCCACGTGCTCAGCCATGTGCAGAGTGTAGCACTTCCAGCTGGTGCGTTTTTGCAACTGCCAAGTACCCACTGTCCTGTCTGGTACAAGATGTGGTTACATACCTGCTTAAAATTCCCAGCTGGTTAAACCCAGCTGTGGGTCTGTCAAACATCTAAGAGGACAGCTCTGCTTAGAGGGCAGGGAACTGAGTCTTGGCTTGGTTGGCTTCCTAGGAAGCTGCAATGTTCTGTAGGGCTGACAGCCCCAAACACTGAACAAACCATGATCTGGACCACTGGGATCACGAGGTTGGCTTTAGGTTTTAAAAACATATATAATGTGTTTGGTCTGTTTCCCTTGTTGTTGCCGCATGGAGGTTTCTGTTTGAAGCATCTCAGGGCTGACCCTCCAGTGCTCTGGTACCACCCTAGGGCCTCCTGAGCATAAGAGGTGGAGAAAATAGATGGGACCACCCTCAGCTGCTGTGGGTCATTCTGAAGAGATGACTGCACACATGAAATGGACAAAAGCCACAGTCTGTTCTTCTGCAAAAGCTCTGCCTAAGCAAGAAAGAGCTCAGCTGAGCAGGAGGCTCCAGCATCTGCACCTACCGGGGGCAGCAGCACAGCTCACATTGACAACTTAGCAGTCTATTTGCTCACTCTCCTCCAGGAATTACCCAGAAACACCTTAATCCAACCAAGGAATTAATAAAATATTCTCTGGCAGCACCAGATTCTCAGCTAAATGTTGAACCTCCTCCTACCTCTGCCATCCAGTGCAAGACATTCCCCCTGGACACTTGACTTGTGATGTTAAAGCCCTCGAGGATGTTCAGGGCTGTGATCAGAGCAGGACCTGCATGTGGAGGTGGGGGACTGAATACAAGATGACCTGTGGAGGGAAGGAGAGAGAAATGAAGCTGCTTTTTGCCAGATACTGTCCAGTTACAATGCTTTTCCATAAGCTTGTCCTTGAGGACAGGACAGCTTTTCCAGATTTGAGGGGACATAATGGAAAGCAACATGATTTGAAAAGGATTTCCCAAAACATTCATGTTGTATCTTTCTGTTTCTTTCTAAGGGGTGCAGGGCACCCACAGTGAGATGGTTTTTTAATTCAGTTCTTTTTGGTTGGCTGGTTGGTTTCTGGAATGCAGGACAGAAGAACAGAGACAAAATGGACTTGCAACATTACAGCTAGAAGGAGAGTAAACACAGGGGTTTTTGGAAAAGAATGAGATTTTAGCCAACTTTTTGCATTCAAGGAAGTTCTTCACCCTTGTAGATCAACTTGGGGAACTGTTCAGATGTAGGCACTAGCCTGTGGACCAGCTTCTGCCTAGACATGGCATCAGCATGTGATCATGTTGCACCTCTACACTTGCACACTTGTATCCAAACACCTCAATCAGCCTCAGGGAAAATCCAGGCCCTGATTGCTAAGAGCTTCCTGAGCTGCATACAACACATCAGTCCCAGGAGGCAAGAGCAGGAAACTCCCTGGGTGGCTTTTCTGCAGGTGCTTCAGTGCAGCTTTGACTTCAACACTTGTTGAATCCTGTGGCCACCTCTTGGCAGGTGAAGCAACCTTTTAACTGAATGGTCAGGTCTCACCTTGATAGACTGTGTGGACAGGATCCTCCACCCTGGCACTGTAATTGCTGAAGTCTTCCTCCACCAAGACTCCCCCATAGCTGTGGACCTGCACAGGACAGCAAAGCAGCACGGGCTGAGGGGGCTAGGCCAAGGCTGCCCGTGTTCCTCAAGCTGGCCCAGATGAACACACACAAACCACAATGTCAAACAAATGCCATTGAGATTCCCAAACAACTGCCAGGTTCCTCACCAAGCCCTGAAGATCTGTGCTTTCATGGTCTTGGTGGCCTGGCTCACCACCCAGCAACCCTGGCAGGCTCTGCAGCTCATCTCCCAAAGCTCACCCACCCCACGGGTTCTCTGAGGATGTTCTGCCTACCCGTGAGGACTGGCATTGCCTCACAGCCTCCTCTGCCCTGGCTGCCAAGGATGAGTATGTTGAAGGGTATGAAGCCTTTGAATGCTGCCAGGATAAAAGATATATCTGGATCCAGAACAGAAGGAACCTGGGTGTAGCAGGTCACCATCACTAGGGATCTCCACCACACTTATTCCCACCCTATTTTTAATTATTTCAGGTGATAGTGGGTCTGCTGGACCCTTGGTCATTTTCTTTTCTTTAAAGCTCTCCCAGGGGTACAATTTACTAGGCTTGGTGATTTTCACTGACACAGTAAAGATAATTCCCTCTACTGCAGGTCTTCTGTGATTGAGTCACGATGGAGATCAGGTAGGACCATCATAACTGCATTCTGCTGGCCTTAAAATCCCCTGAAGTAGGTAGTGTCAGTCAGCATACAGGTGCTCCTGTGCTCATGGGCACATGGGACTCCTTGTTTCCACCCAGGACAAGCTACATAACAACCTGGTGAGAGGTCCTCCTTGGGTGAGTTGCTGCTATGAGTCCTCTGGATTTCCATCCAAAAATGGGCAAGAACAAGTAACTGCTCCAGTTTCTAAACCAGCCAGCCAACTTGGCAAGAAAACTCCTTCTCTGGCTGAAATGGATGAATCACTGGAGAAGGAAAGCTAAAATGCAGGACATGTTGTGGAGGGCAGCATGTTTAACCACCCCAAAGCTGCAAATGAAGATGGAGCCCCTGCTTGGGATCCCTGCCCCCTTCCCAGAGCAGCCCCCAGGACCAAGTCAGGTTGAACCCAGGAGCTGGGATGAGCAGGCAGGTGCCCTTGCTCAGACTTGGCTCCCTAGCTCAGCAGAAAGCCTGGGAGAAGCAGTGGGAAGTGGGGCAGGAAGAGCCCAACAGCACAGGAAGGGGAGAAGGCCTGGTTAGCCCCATGCTGCTGACACCCTCAGATTCCCCAGAGAGCACTTTGTTCTAGCTCCTGTGCCTTCCTGCTGTGGGATGGAAACAAAGGGGTTGGATGTTTTGGAGCTTTACTTGGTTTCACCACATCAGTGGCTTCTCTTTGCTGGAAAAAGCAGCACTGTGGGAAGTCAGCACTTTGCTCTGCAACCACAGCTGCAATTGCACATTTGACCCCAAAACTTGCCAGAGTCTTTGGTTTTGAAAACCTGGACCTCCACAGAGAGCTTGTGCTTCCTTGCAGCAGCCCTCAAGTCAGGGGAACAGGGTGATGCAGCAGGGTTTAGCTGTGCAGACGCACCACAAGCTTGGGGCTTGTCCTGCTCCTCATTCTCCACCTCTGCTATGGTCCAAGTGAACCAGAGGAGAAGGTTTCCAAACACAGAGCTCACAATTGTCTAAGGCTTGAGCTGAATCAGCCCATTACAGATCACTGGTGACATGTTGCAGGTGCACCACTTTCACCATGGTGGTAGGGAAAAATGGTGCCACCAAATTTTTCCAGAGCACCTCTAACAACAGGACTTAAACTGGGGTAACCCTCAGTGGGACCAACCCTAGCTGATCTTCTGCTCACAAAGCTCACAGTTTTATTTTTAAACCATCTTGGAGCCTGTATCTTACAGTCCCATTTAACAACAGTATTTGCTCCATGGCAGTGGGGCACCTTTCTGCATGGGGAAAAAGGGGTTGTCACCCAAGGGGGGCTTGAAATTGAGACACTTTTGCCTTTGAAAAACCAGCCTGTCCTGGTTATAGAGGAAATGGAGGTTACACTTCTGCAGGCTGTGGAAGTGACCTGATGTCACTCAAGCCACTGCAGTGGCAAGGGGCGGGGGAGCGAAGGGAAAAGAG